AAATATTTACTATCATTTTGCACAACATACAACTGCAAGAGCGGATTTTCAGCCATGACAAACATGAAAACTAAACATTGTCACCAATTTCGACTCGAAGATGACTTGAGACTGAAGCTGACCAAAAAGCAACCAGATTTTACAAAGTTGTGCAAAGAAAATCGTGCACATTTGTCACATTAAAATTAAATAATCTTATGTTGTTTTCATTGTTATTACAATTGTATTTTAAAGATAATAAATGTAAAAAAAATTATTCTATTTATCACTAGCTGTCTAACCACAGCTTCTCCCGCATTATATCGAATTTTCTCGTGAGAATAAGATATTTTCTCGCAGTAAAATATAGCCTATGTCCATCTCCAACATGTAAGCTATCTCTGTGCTCAATTTTATTTAAAACTGTTCAGCGGTTTAGACGTGAAAAGGTAACAGACAGACAGAATTATCTTCGAATTTATAATATTAGTATGAATTAATATGAATTTCTTCTATAAGGGGTACGCGAGTTTGAGCTCTTTTTTGAAGTGGTACGCAGGAAAAACTAATTGGGAACCACTGATCTATACTAATCTATGTAAATACGCCTAAATTTACGTAATTCGATAATTAATATTTGAGCTGAAAACATGGAATAAAATGAACCATTTAATCCCCATTTCTTAATATTTGATAGAAATTTGTGGGTATATATCCCACAAATTTCTCCCAATGGCATTATCCCAATTTTCTTGCCATTCTTGATATATAGTTTATCCGTTTTCTCAAACGTATTTTTTCGAGAGTTCAAACTCTATGATGAAATTTGTTATATCGAAGTCATCATAAACGAGAAACCGGGTCATAGATTTTTACGTCAAAAAACTGAAAAAAAATATTTTTTTTCCTGTGGGGAGGGGAACTGGAAAAACGTTAATTCATTGAAAAAATCGAAAAAGATAAATTCTTTTGTGATAAAAACTAAAAGGAGTATTTTGTTTCAGTAGAGAAGTTAGAAAAAATATTATTTCTGAACAATAGGAGTAGTAAGAAACAAACTTGAGCCCTGAAAAATATCATATCTCGAGTTTTATACAATAATTCCTTTTAGGTTCAACACATCTTATTCTGAAAAATAGTTCCTCAATATATTTTACGCCAGATAAACTAAACCTTCATTTAAAAAACATTATTTTTTCAGTAATAAACTTCTCTAACATACACAAATTTTAATAAAATAAAATTAAAATTAATAATGCAATTTATTCCAGAAACTTTGTGAAAACTTTCTTGTATCTTTAGTTTATTAAAACACTTCTGATCGAAGAAGTGTTTTAACACGACAGTTATTAAATTATATTATTAAATTATGTTAACGTTGATTTAATCTACATACAGAATAGATTAAATATATGATATACACTATATATTAGTATAATATAAATTATAGAATTCATTTGGCAGAAGGTTAAGTACACTCTCGAGAAATGGAAAGAAAAACAAACGGAACAAATCATCTTATTTCATATTAATTTATTCGTTTTTATAAGAACTTCAAATGCATTTCCGAAAAGAAAAGAAAACTCTGAAATTATCAAGTTAAGAACAGTTTTAAGATAAAATTTTTGAAGCATCGAAATGTATGCTTCTTATATAATGAAGTTAGACCTTTAGAAAGATATCTGTTGAACAAACACGGTAATAAGATAGTACAAGATAGAAATCAACCCTATTAATATTTAAATGTAATTTCTACACAAATTTTTACTTGAATTATGCATCATCGCTAATGATAAGGTTCACAAACAAGCAGAAAATGAATATTAAAATTTGCTTCTTGAAGTTGTTTACGTATTGTTTTTGAACTATTAATAGTGCAAAAATTTTTAAAAGAAAATTCAGTTCAGCATTTTCCTAAAAATTTTAAGATTAAAACAATCTTAGTATAATAAAGAATAATAAAATTTTTAAATTTAAAACTATAATGATTTGTAATGCTAGATAATTTAATATTTGAAATTAAATTATCTAGTATTACAAGTGTAATTTATGCAAAATATTTTAATACAATTTGAGCTTCAAAACAGATAGAAATAAGTTTAAAGACGTTACCTGTAAGTAGAGAACAAGTTTGCACATAATTCTACCGAAAAACCACGTTTCTGTCACGTCCCAAAGAACGGTCGGTGGTAAACAAACCAGTATGACCAAGAAATCAGCAACTGCCAAATTGACAATAAAGTAGTTGGTAACAGTTCTCATGCTGTGATTTCTGTAAACGGATATGCAGACTAAAGCATTTCCTATCAATCCTACGAAGAACACTGTTATATGAAAAGCTACCAGCACCCATTCATAAGGATTTGGAAATATGTAATCTTCAATCATACTTATATATTCTTCATCAGAAACACAGTATTCATTTGTACATAATTCGGTTGTATTACTGATATTATTTGGTGTTGATCCGATTGTAAGATTGTCACTAATATAGTTATCAAATCCCGTCAAATTAGTATCGTAGAAATTTCCTATTGAAAAGTCCTCCATTTTCTTCTCCTTTTTTGATTCTGTATTCTTATACAGGAAATTACAAACACACCTTTCCTGTGAATAAATAAATTTATTTAAACATTTTAAAAATTTATATAATATAAAAACATTTTAATTTAAAAACTAAAAATCTAATTATCAATATAAGTATTTTTATTTTATATACATAATCAAATTTATATTTCTTAAAATTCACTTTTTTAAGATATAGATTCAATTATATATTTATTAATGTTTTATTTCATGTTTTATATCAATGTATTATTTAATAATTTACTATGAAATAAAATATTAAATAAATATATCTGTTAATTTGTATGTTGTTGATAATAATATTGTACTATGTATGTTTGTATGTTAATGTTGTTAATATTTGTATTTTAATAATGTGTAATATATGTGGTTAATGTAGGGTAATAAATATATTTAAATATATAAATAAAAATATAAATATAAATATAAAAATAAATTGTAACTATATATACAATCGAACCTCTAAACAGTAGCCATTCTGTCAGGATTTTTTAAACAAAAATGCAGGCGAAGTAAACTCGAAACGACGGCCACCTTCTAACAATGACCATTTTTTACGTTTTCATCTGTGGCGGTTGTTCAGAAGTTTGATTGTATTTATTTAATTAGTACTTTTTAAATAAATAGGTTATCAAAATATTTAAAATTGCAATAAAGAAAGTTTACTATTCAAAAAAGTACTGAAAAATTTTCTAGATATTTAAGCTTTCTTTAAGTATAATTAACCAATCGTTAAATATAATTATTATAATTAAGACAAACTGCTTCTTTTTATTTAAAAAAATTTTATTAAAACTAAATTAGAAATTTTACACAAAAAATATTCTAAATATTTGATATTATTATATAAAATAATTTATTAATAAGAAAAATTACGATAAGAATGAAATTTTTAACCTAGTCGTTTAACAGTCAGTTTGTTTGTCTGGCCGGTAAAATTCTTTATGTCATAAACTTCTGTATCAATCACTATATATATACATTAGTTTACTACGCAATGATTCATCTAGCTAAAATGTTAATTCTACAATCCATTAATTACTAAAGTTGTAATAGAGTTACATATTTGGAATTTTGCTTGAGTAATGTCATGTTGATCTTCAAGGAGAAAGATTTATGCCAATGATGTTTTGACATAACACTTTCTTCCATGAAATCTTTATTATATTTAGAATTTATTTTTCTCAATTACATTGTTATATTCGTAGAAAAACTTTAAAGAATATTAATTATAATACTTATTTTTAATCTTAATTTTTCTATAAGCCTCTTTTATAAGATTAAATAGATTTAATAATAATAAGCCTCTTTTATAAGATTAAATAGATTTAATAATAGCATTATTAATCTGTCTGTAAAAGCTGTAAAAGCTGTAAAATGTAAAAATATTATTTTAATTAATTTTTTGGAGAAAATTTTGTTGCGCAAACAATAATTATTCTAAAAATTTTGAAAAAATTCACTCAAACATTTACGTTATTTCAATTTTCATGATGACATAACACAGAATGAGATTTATTTAGAAGAATTTGTTTGAATTTTGTCTTTATATGTAGCACTAAAATTAATATAAACACTTCACATCAGTACGAAAAACGGATATGAAATGTATAAAAATCCAGCAACCACTTGCGTAACTTTCCCAGCAAAAAAGTTAAAATTGTGTATAGCTCCATCTGATATGAATTTATCTTAAAAAATAAATGTAAATGCTAATAACGAGTAAAATCTTCATTAAGTCCGGCCACTCGAAATATGACATATGGCCCTCTATCTCCTCCAATCCCTTGACCTATAACCATCAAAATTCATTTGCACCAATTCCCTTAATACCCAAACCTCCCTGCAAAATTTCAGAAATTGTCGAGAAAACGCACGAGAGTTATCGAGCTTTAAAGTAGGTGAACAAAATCGTGACCCTCCACACAAACATCTTTACATACAGAAAAAAACCCAATTTTTTTGTATTTTTCGACATTTCAAGGTTCCCGAGTTTAAAAATATAAAAAACTTGGCGGGTCATTATTTAACCGATCGCCGTACTTTCCCTCTGTTATATACAACAACCGGGAAAGTAAAACCTAGAAATAATAATTTATTATCTTTTACACAATAAAAGAATAAAATTTTACCTTGTGAAGATTCTAGATATCTTGGCAACGACTATTCTAACTCAGTATTAAAGTAGACAGATATGACAATTACGTTATATAAAACATAATTTATAAACTTAGAGAATTTCCCTATTTTTAAAGAATTACATTTGCAAATAAAAAATGAATTATTCATAGTGTTGCTGCCAACCGTCCTCCATTGAACTGGACTATCCTCTCGTCTTCGTTTAGAGTAAAATGGTATTTGCGTTTGTTTTTATTTTACATTATTATTTGTGAAATATTGTATTATCGGCCGACGACGAGATGTTTCAATATTTCATTTTCTTATTCTAAAGTAATAGTTTCGGGAGACTTAATAAACAGAGAAAGTCAGAGTTTTTAATTAGAGTTTGACAAAGTTTAATCACTTAATTAGGATGACGTTGTGCAACAGTTGGTAATACTTTTAACATTGAGTTTAAAATACTATTTATTGTCTATTTAATGTTTTTAATTCATAGCTAATCAAACTACTCTGTTATAAATGTCCTTTGTTATACAATATCTGTGTAATGTCCTCTTTTTTATACACGAAAGTTGATATTCCTAATTATTCCTGATCTTTATTTTGTAATAGTGTATATTTTTGTTTACATATATCCATGAAGCATTTTTACTACTATGAGATATATACAGTAAATTAACAACTAGACTTACAGCCAAGCTAATTCATTCCGATTAGATGATCTATCCATTCGTTTCTTATTAACTTACAAACAAGAACATTCCCATATTGAATGACATAAATCTTCGTATATAATTCAACTTCCAAAACAAAGTTGAATTCTCTGATTCTAATGTATATTATTATCACCAACTTTGTGAAAATTACGCTGTTATTTACTTTATTAATATTAAAAATAGTAAACTTTAATGCTATATACTACGTGATAAATGTTAAAATCACTACAAAACAAACATTTAAATGACAAATTTACATGTTTATTGGTTGTTAAGTAATCAAAAAATAAAGCTAACTAATATTAATAGAATTATTTATTGCTTTCTTTATATTTATAAGTAAAATTATATTAATTATTAAATAAAAAATTAATTTAAATATAAAATGTTTAAACATGGAATAAAAATGTAAAAATTGAAACTTATATTTAAACTATTTTGCTAGTGGATAATTAAAAATGTTTCTTTTTAAACAATTCTGAACCACTGTACACATTTAACAAACAAAGATTGAATAAATAAGTTAAGAGAAAAACAGTTTAAAAGTAACAGAAACTAATTTAAAAATTTATAAAGAATTAAATTTTCGAACTTTTATGCTGAAAGTCTTTCATCTTTCAGATAATCTAACTTATTTAATGCTTCCATTATGGCATTTGAATATTAAAGTGCGAACAATTGACAGTACTTTTATGAAAATTCGATATAACAACTTTCGCGTGACATTTTCACAGTCGATGATGACTGTAATATAATCTGACAACTGACAATAACATGTCAAACTTCTATGGGTATCTCGTGCGGTATTTGTAACACTCCCAGGCATGAAAGTGATCATTGCCAACTAATGGATAGATGATGTTAGTTATTGAAGCAATAAGACTTTGGTATTTAAGGACACTAAAATGAAACATATTTTTATGAATTTGTCGAATATAATTCCCATTTTATTACATTAAAATAGAGAAAAATATATACAGATAACTTACAATTAATTAAAGTCCCTCTAAGGTATCCATTTAAAATAAAAGTTTAAAGGAAAAGTAGATTTTTAAAAAAATATCTATAGTTTAAAATGATTTTCCTCTTCACTTTTTCCGTATAATTATCATTTATAAAGAGATTTAATTGCAATAAAACAAAAAATAATTAAGGCTAGAGTTGAGAATGTAAGAAATGTTTATTCGTAAAGCTTGCAAATATACACGAATAAAGGACTTTAGCATTCAATTTACTGGAATGAGAGTTCTGGAGTAGAATTTCTAACAAGTAATAAAGTACATAAAATAATTTTTTAATCTTTTGTTGTAAATATTATTCAGTGCATATGAAATCTTTTCAGGATAATAATGAAAATAATAATAACATGTTATTGACTTAAGAACTTGGCAAAAATATCAATTTTTCACAAGTACGTGTGCATTTTAATGTTTATACAAGACCTTGAAAGAATTAAATACAAGTAAAATCTATTGAAATCATAATTTACATTTAAAAAAAGTCCTGTTGTTAGTTTTAAAGGCTAATAATATTTGCAGTATTTAATAAACTTTTATATTTTAATAATTGAAATATTCGCATATCTTTAAATTTTTAATGAATTTAATATTTTATTTAATATAAATTACAGTATAAAATTATTATACTCATAATATATTATGAGCATAATAATTTTAGTATAATAATAAAAGGCTGATTTTACAATTATCCTGCTTCGATTTGTAGAAAGGATTTTTTTCAAAACTTTGCCTTTTTGTCGAAAAAATGTTTTTATCACAATTAGGCTGACGAATCACAGCCATTTTGTAATACGGTTAGAAACCTGCAGCCTTTATGTAATAGTTGCAATCGATTACAAAATGGCCTACTAATTCTAGTCGTTTTGTAAAAAGACTTACTCCCAGCCTTTTCACAGTCGTATCTGGTAATTACCATTAGATCAAGGAAATTTGCAATTGTTTTAAAAACAAAAAAGAAATTTATTGTCAGAAAAACAAGAACGTTTACAAAACTAGTCATTAAAATATTTTTTTATGAAAGAAAACACTTAAAAATATTTTACAGTGTAATAAAACGACACTTTAAAAGTAAAATAAGTAATATAGTATAAATATATTTGTTTTAGTTTATAAAGTGAAAAGAACAATTCCATTATTGAGCACACTTATCAACGATTATTTTAAT